CTTGGGGCCCCCATGGGGGCTGTGGGAGCCGCCTCTGCGCGTGGTGGTGCTCCCCGAGCAGGTTTGGGTGGTGAGGAGCGGAGCCGTGGGGTGCTGCCCCCCTCGCCGTCAGGGCTTGCTATGTGGAAGTCGAGCCAGACCTGAGCCTTTGGAACTCGGCTCTACGTGTTTTATTTTTTTTTATTTTTTTTTTATTTTTATTTTTTTTGATAAAGCCCATCACATTGAAGTTGGTTTGACCCAAAACATCCTCTGATGTATCCAAACAAGCCGTGACTGGTTGTTGAAGCTCACCTTCCTGTAATGGTTGAAAGTCCCATTCAGTGCCTTTTCCACTGTGTTTTGGGGATGGGCCATTAGCTGATTCATAGTTAACACTATTGGCAGAGACAGGGATATAAAAAAGAAAATCGATGTGTCCTTTTGTACCTTCCCTCTTTGATTTTATTTTTAAAGTGTAGTAATATTTAAGGTTGACTGTAGTACTTGTTACTAAACAGTGCACAGACTTCAGGTTCAGACTTTAGGTATCCTTTCTTAGATTAGTCTGCATAAGAAGCCACAAATACAAATTAGTTCTTGACTTTAAAACAGGATGTTGACAAGGCTTGGGGTTGAAAACCTGTTGAGTTTTGTTATCCGTGTATCTGCTTCTGTGCATCCAGGAGTTTGATCCTGACTTTGAAAACCAGCATATGAGGACATATTGATAGGAGGAAGATGATGCAGCTTTTAGTGATTACTGAATACATCAAATGATTTTTTTCCACTTCCTGACCAAGTGCCTTTCTCTCATCTGATGTCTGGGCTTTAGAGGCTTTGTTTTAAATTGATTAATGTGACTATTTTGCTGCTAGTTTGTTTTACTGCTGGTTCAAAAAGACAAATGGAGGTGGCAGCAAAATGAGTTAGTCTGGCCCCAGGTTATGTTTATGCTTGTAAAGCAAGTAAATAAATACAGAATTGATTAACAACGAACAGGAGGACTGGACTGTCATTAGTGCTGTCTGCGTGGTTTTAGATTTTCTGAAGCAGTCCTGGCCTCTGTCTTTTAAGAGTTTGTTTGGCTGGTAAAGGTGATTAAAGGGTGGAAGTTTTTAACTTTTAACATTTTTAACTTTTTTTTTAAAATGCTTGGTTCAGTAGAACATAACTTTTTTTGTTTGTTTGTTTTTGTTTTTTAAAGTTAGAATAACTTTCTAAAGTTAAGTATATTTTTCCAAAGGGAAGGTGTTAGCTAGACTAAAAGCAGTCAGCTGGTACCTCAGAATCTCTGGATAACTCTCCTTGCTAGTGAGGTTATGCAGGAGCTCGTTTCATTCAGTCTTTGCTTTGGGGTTTTTAAAGATATACAAGAAATTAAAACATTAAGAACGTGTGGGTGGTACAAATATTAGTGGAACTAACACATAATGACAGGGCACTCTTATGTGCTGTTTTTCAGTGGACTCATCACGTAATGAAACAACCAGATATGTTTCAGTATGTTCTAAACTTGAGTGAGGCTCATTGCAGTTAATCACCCTTACAGCTGAAGATCTTTATTTTGCTGTTTGACCTGGTGAACAGACTGAAGAGGGAAGTTTTTTCATGCAGGTCTGAGTAGGCATCTGGCTGGCTGTTCTCTGTTGTTGTTCTCTATTCTTGATTCCAAAGCCCAGTATTTTTATTGCCTTTTTTAAGAATATGGAGGAAGTAAGTCTAAATATTTGTGTGTGTGTGTCTAAAGACTGAGCAGTTACTCATGCCAGAAGTCTCGGTGCCTCTGGCTGCTTTGGGCGCACCTGAGAACTGCCTTCACTCACAAGGTGCTCCTGCTGCTTTCCCTAGTCAATCTGCTGGCTCCCTTTCCCTTGAGCAAGGCTCACTGTTGTCAGAAGTGCCCACCCTTCCTTCAGGTCAAGCACTTTGGCTACATGCACTTAAACACTAGGTGTCACTGTTGCAGTTTGTATGCAAGTATATACATATGTTCGTGAATGGGCTTTTGTATGTATACAATATATCGGGTTTCTTTGGTACTGAATTTTTTTCTTGGAAACCTAGATTTTGAATCTTCAAGACCTTACCAATGCTGTCGTATCCTGTTTACTCAACCCCAGTCACTTTAAATCACTGCTGAAAGGAGCAAACACTTGCAGTATCCTGTTTACTCAACCCCAGTCACTGCTGAAAGGAGCAAACACTTGCGTGGTAAACTTTCCAACAAATTCATTGTGATGGTGCCTACTTTATTGGGCACTGTGTAGAGGAATCAGTTGTAACAGCAAGCAGTGCATGGACCTGAACTCTGATAACGTTCATTTATATTCAGAGGAAATTTGAGTAGTGATGGGTCTTTACTAGGAGGAAATAAATTCTGATACTTTTTTTGCTTTTTTCCCTAGGTTCTGAATTAAGCTCAGGGCTCTCTGAAGATGGCTACTCCTCAGAAAGTGAAGCCCTGGAAGGAGATGATGAGGATGAAACGGCAACCTGTGGCGATGCAGTGGGAGAGGCATCAAATTCTCAAGCTGGCCCGAGCACAGGCTGGGCAGATGCCATGGCCAAAGTGCTCAACAAAAAGATTCCACAGAATAAATCCACCATCTTGGCTAAGAGTAAGAAACTGGAGAGAGAGAGAGAAAAGTTAAAACAGGAAAGATTGGAGAAGAGGAGGAAGGTGAGAAAGAGACAACATATTTCCCTGTACATTCACAGTCTGATAATGATGTATGTGCCCAGGATCCCTAAGGATGGTTTTGGGAGAGCATTTGGAGATTCTCTCTCAATTTTGGAATCTTTTCCTCACTCTGATCTCAAGCAGCTTGAATTTTTTGACTTTCAAGGCAGGCATGCTGTAAGGCCTTTTACCTTTTTTTTCTGGACTTATCTTTGGCAGCAGGACCGTCGTAGTCAGTTTTGCTCTCAGCCTAAGGTATTTTTGCTGTTGAGGAAATGAAAAACAGTTGCTCGAAGCTCAGTTTCCTGCTGGCTACTATTAATCTAGTGTCTAAGTGCCTTTCTGAACATTGTAAGCAAAAATAATTCTGTCTTTGTCATAGCAAAGGAGAGGGAGAAAGCTTAGTAAAGAGAAGGAGAAAGCTTAGTAAACTTTCTTCTATTAAATTCTGCTGTGACTTCCACAGTCAAAGGACTCTGGGTTGAAATTGCAGTAATTGTTCATGTGCTTGAGAATCACTGCGTGGGTTCTCCACACTGCTTTTCCTGATAGCCATTTCTTTATTAGTATGACAGTGTTCTGCATTACTTACGGTTCTGAAATTGCTGTGAAGAAAACAAAACCACGTTGACAAACTTCTGTGGTGGTGATTGTTGTTTTTGATGGGAATTGAATTCCAGGCTATAAATGATTTCTTTTTGGAGTATATGTCAGGACTTTTAATGTGTCTTCTTACGAATTCTTTTTTAATGGGATTATAGACTTACCTGTCCGATATTCTGGGAATATTGTGATTAGGTCATATCCTGCCTTTTACATACAGAGGACTGTAGTAAAGATTTCTATGATTATGATTACCTAAATACCTAGTTTCATCCAGTGCTGCAAAGCAGAGGTGGGCTGCAAGGCTCTGAACTGATTTGTTCAACCTTTTAAAAAAAATTCTTGAAAACAGTCTGCCTTTTATTAATTTCTTGCTGATGGAAGCTAGAATAGGGCAGTACTTCGATCAAAGGCCAAAGCATGGTCGTAAACTCATGTGTTCATAGTAGTCTGCCTGGAATTATAAAGATAAGGACTCTCTAATTCCATGAAAGACTTTTTGTGTCATACAGACTGGGTGCCACGCTGCCCTTACTAGAACACTACTAAATTGTTAGAAGGAATAATAAAAGGTCACTACTCACCCCAGGGCTGGGGAAACGCAACTTTCTACTATTGTAATGGGAATATGTCCAGCATTGCTGTGGCCACTGATAATATTGGGGGAAAACGATACCTTTTTTAATGCTTTGAAGCTCTGTTTCAGGCACCAAATGACCAGTGTTGTACATGGCAGTGCTTCTCCACTGGGTCCCAGTACTGTTTTACCTGATTGGGTTCTATTCTGTGTAGTCTTGGCTATGTGCTGTTGTTCATCAGAATTGTATAGTGATTAATTCAGCAGAGGAGGTAAAATTCTTGAGGCCCAAAATGTGACTTCTGTCTTGAGAGGTCCAGGATTTTATTATGTATAAATTCCTCTGTGATCAGTTTATGAAGTCTCGGAGGATTGGATTGAAAGCCCTCTTTGAATAATTCCCTCGTCCCTAGCAGTCAGTGTGAAGGTGTTTGGGTTTTCCCAAGGCTCCTCTTGCTTGTCTCCAGCCGGAGGCGTCATTGTGGTGTGACTGATCTTTTTGTTATAGAGGTTTGGTTTGAGGTTTGGTTGGGGCCCCTTACGCGTCAGCGCTAAAAACTTCCTTCAGACCCATTGTCCAGCCCTATAAAAACATTCTAGAGTTCCCCATACCCTCCAGCAAACATAGCTTTGTTAATTTATCATATTTTCCCTTCTTGCTACATATTCCATCAGAAAATGCTACATTCTCAAATGCTCCATGTTCTTTCACATAACAATATTTATAACACAGCTCGATAAAAAGCGGGAGTGGGAAATGATGTGCCGAGTGAAGCCAGATGTTGTCAAAGACAGAGACAGAGAGAGAAATCTTCAGAGAATTGCCACGAGGTAAGAGGTTTTCCTTTTCCTTTTTTTTTTTTTTCTTTTTTTTTTTTTCTTTTGAATACTTTCCCTAAATGCATGTTATCTCAACAGGAGGAAAAGAAGTGTGTGTGTGTGCGGGGGCAAAAGCCAGCATGGGTAATCTGTTTCCAATCAGATTGAACTCCTAAGAAGTGACTAGCAGGAGCCGAGTGATTTATATACAGGTCCACATTGTACAGTATCAAGTTCAGCAAAAGATTTCAGAAGCTTTATGAAAGCATAAAAACTTAGACAAGAATGTAATATTTGCTTAGCAGAAGTGCTTTACTGCAGCACCTCGCTTTGTTAGTTCTATGCTTTAAAATGCAGAACAATAGCTTCTATCTCTTTTGTGTTTGTTTTGTCCTCTTCATACAGTATTCACCAGCCTCACTTTTCTTGTGTTCAGTTGCCTGTTTTGCATTACAGTAGCTTGATGTCACGGAACTAGCTAAATGCTTCGCTCCTGTTCTGCCTGCGTGTGCTTGTCTCCTTACAGGACTCGTTCTCCTGGCCTGCTCCCCTGCATGCACTATTCTTAATATCCTGTTCAAGGAATTTAACAGCTAGTTGTAGGAAGAATAACATGCTTTGGGGATGGTATGTGCTCTTGCATTAGTCTTGGGCCAATGTACCATCCTTATGTTGGGGTCTGAGTAGTTACAGGGCTAAAGCTTGTGAGCCTTGAGCACATCTGCCTTTAAGTGACTTGTTGGTCACCAGTTCATAGCAGTTGGTGTGAAGGCACCTGCTGAAAGGCAGGTGAAAACTGAACACCTCTTACATGGTAGTGAATGTTACTTCTTAACTAAGGCAAGGTGCTAAGTAACTATTTTGCAGTTAGAAGCCTTCTAGCCTCTGCGCCGAGTAGAGGCTTTGGTAGAAGGTTCTTTTTGGGAAAGGCAACTTGATGTAAAAGGTGATGTTTTGTTTGTTTCTCCCTCCCCTGCCTGCCTCCCAGAGGTGTTGTGCAGTTATTTAATGCTGTCAGGGCACACCAGAAGAATGTTGATGAGAAGGTGAAGAAAGCTGGGAAGTCTGAGAGGCAACGTGCTAAACTGATGTCATCGGTTTCAAAGAAAGACTTCATCGATGTGCTGCGAAGTATGGAAGGCGCTAAAGGAAACCAGAATCCCTCTGGAAAGGCAGCAAAAAGCAAAGAGGTGGGCTTCATCTTAGTGAAATGTGGGATCTTTTTCCAGTGTAATTATTATCCATTAATATGTTTGTTCTCCAGGACAGCTATTAGCCAAGTGTCTGGGGTTTGTGAAGCCAATGGGGGATTGAATATCTCTGAGCATGTTTTCTCTCTTGGGCTTTGTACCATGCATGTAGCAGAAACTGCTAGGTCTTAATAGGTTTTTGTCAAATTGCAATTTGGGCAATTAGCTAACTGCCTTTTAATACTGGAAAAGGCCCAGTGTCCCCTGTGGTAACTGTGGGTTTTAGGTGCTACAGCAGACCATACAACTTGTGTGTGAGCAGTTATGGGCATTTGGAATTCCCTTGGTCTGATGACGGTATCTGTCTGGGCCTGAAAGGCTTTGACCTGTAAATGAACATTGTGATGGAAAGAAATTGATGTGATTGAATGAAACTGTGGTATGTTGGAAAGAAACTATACTAACAGCTTATTAAGAGACGTAATGGACATTGTATGTAGGAT